AAATGAATGAAATGACCCTGCAGGACCCGCAGCCCCGGACGATGTGGCTGCCTCTGACAACACAGGCCCCAGACATTACACTGACGAAGACAATTTGGGAGGCTGAGCAAATTCTGCTCTGGACATAGACACTATTAACTCCAGATAATTTGTTTTTTATTCTTTCACTTTGCCCGCTACCTGCACCTGCTACTCTCTATTGGGCCCATATTTTGGATCTGCCTTTTTTCAGCCCTGTTACTTGGGCTGGCACCCTCTTCACAGCCTCTAACAATGCCTGGCTAAGAGGGATTGACATACTCCCTGTAGGGTCTCTCATTAATGGCACACATTGGACTGAGGTGCCAGATAATACTACTTACCACTCCACTATCCTCCCACTATGTGTAAGTTATAAAAGTTCTAACCCTTACTGTGTACCTGCCTAAACACAATTATGGCTACATCATGGCAATGAAATGCCTTCACATTCTTGGTTGCAGGTAGCCTCAAAGTGAGCAACGCAACCACTGCCACTTTCCCCGACATTCCTCCCTGTGCAAAGAACCAAGCCTGGAAAGTAATGGATTTCACTTTGGCTAGGAGGTCTGTCCTGGGGGACAAGCCCATAGCTTCCAGTTAGGAAATTATAACATCATAGACTGGAGCCCCCACGGCCATTTGCAGGCTAACCATACTGATGTCTGTGTCCACTGTAGCATCAATCAGTTTTGTAGGCACAACTTGTTCCCCTATGATTTGGGCTGATGGGGGAATGGGATATCCCAGACTCCAATTAGAGTCCATGCCACCCCAAGACACTTTATGATGCCTGGGATATTCTAGCACCACCCTTAAAACCTGACATGGGAAATATCAAAATTCCAGTAACAATTATACTATGACCTTTATTCATAATCAGAGAGATCAGTGCCTTATTTACACTACCTATCCATATGATTTCTTTAGGGAACCAATATTTCCATAACACTCCAAAACTCCAAGTTTGTGACCCAAGTGCAAGGACAGGCTTGATTCACCTCATGTATGACTAATTGCAATATATCTAATTTAAATATTACTAGTGTCAAGGTATTAAGGAAACAGTCTAAGGCATTCCTACCAGTCAATTTGACACACGACTGGCAAGGCTCCTCTGCTCCTGCCACCTTAGAATGTGCCCTGTCCCAGCTCAGACACAAAAGATTCATAGGTACATTTATAGCCTTTGTAGTCTCTGCCATAGTCATCCTAGCTACTGCTAGTTTTGCTGTTGCATCGGTTACTGAAGCAGTATAAACAGCTACCTTTGTGGACAGGTTGGCCAGAAATGTGTCTAATGAACTTCTCCTACAGTAGGATATAGACCAAAAAATTCTTACATGCCTGCAAGCCCTCAAGGCTGCCATGGAGTATGTAGGAGAATGACAAGAGGCACTGGCATTCCAGCAACAATTAAACTGCAACTGGGAGCATAAGCATATTTGTGTCACCTCTCTACCATGGAATCAATCAATGCATCATTGGGATGAGGTGAAACAACGCCTCTGGGGAACTTTATGTGATAAGTAAACAGCAGACATAAAGCCACTTAAAACTAAAATTCAAGAATCCCTAAACACCATAAATCTTCACATCCAACAAACAGCCATATGGAAGGATGGGCAAGAACATCTCTCCTGGATAGACCCTCACTCCTGTGAGGCACTCCTCAACTGGAAAAGAATATTACTGATTATACTCATGTTTGTCTCATGTTAGTTACTAATTCTGGGATGCAAAGCCAAAAACGAGCTGTAACCATTACGCCTGACAAACTTGTTGCTGCACACATCTATACTCTTCAATCAACAAAACCTGATGCAAAAAATAGAAAAAGGGGAGATGTAGGAGATTGGTTAGGGTGGTGGGAGAAGCAATAGGGAAAGATGCAAACCTGGAAAGGTTTTGCAAAGCTTCAGGGGAGAATAAACTGAAGGCAGCTGTTCTCTTACCCTGAGGCAAAGGGCAAGGAGTAGGTACAACGGAATGTAGGGGCATTTATCTAAATAGGCTTGTTTACTTCTGTTGTCAGGAAACTGACTTTTGATCATCCACACACGAGACTGCTCCCTGGAAGGGGGAATGACAATGTTAACTACCTACAGATTGTGTTGGCTCCAGCCTTTTGGTAGGTAGTATGTCTGTACTAAACAAAAGCTAGCAGCTGCAGCTTATCAAAACTGCTCACTCTGCCTGCAGTCCCCTAGTGGCTCTTACACTGCATACCTGTGTCTGCGTACTCCTATCATGCATCGTCGCTCAACCAGGGTCTGCAAGACAGACCTGACATAATAGACAGCCAAACCATGAGTAATCTCCCATTCACAATTGCCACAAAGAGAATAGAATACCTAGGAATACAAGTAACAAGATGTGAAGGACCTCTTCAAGAAGAACTACAAACCACTGCTCATGGAAATAAGAGAGGACACAAACAAATGAAAAACATTCCATGCTCATGAATAGGAAAAATCAGTATCATGAAAATGGCCATACCGCCCAAAGTAATTTATAGACTTAATGCTATTCCCATCAAACTATCATTGACTTCTTCACAGAATTAGGAAAAACTACTTTAAATTTCATATAAAACCAAAAAAGAGCCTGTATAGCCAAGACAATCCTAAGCAAAAAGAACAAAGTGGGAGGATCATGCTACCTGACTTCAAACTATGCTATAAGGTTACAATAACCAAAACAACAGGTACTGAAACAGATGTATAGACTAATGGAACAGAAAAGAGGCCTCAGAAATAATGCTACACATCTACAACTATCTGATCTTTGACAAACCAGACAAAAACAAGCAATGGGGAAAGGATTCCCTATTTTATAAATGGTTTTGGGAAAACTGGCTAGTCATATGCAGAAAACTAAAACCTTCCTTACACCTTATACAAAAACTAACTCAACATGGATTAAAGACTTAAACATAAGACCTAAAACCATAAAACCCCTAGAAGAAAACCTAGGCAGTACCATTCAGGACATAGGCATGGGCAAAGACTTCATGAGGAAAACACCAAAAGCAATGGCAAGAGATGCCAAAATAGACAAATGGGATCTAATTAAACTTAAGAGCTTCTGCACAGCAAAAGAAACTATCATCAGAGTGAACAGGTAGCCTAAAGAATGAGAGAAAATCTTTGCAATCTATCCATCTGACAAAGGGCTAATATCCAGAATCTACAAAGAACTTATACAAATTTACAAGAAAAAAACAACCTCATCGAAAAGTGGGTGAAAGATATGAACAGATATTTTTCAAAAGACATTTATTCAGCCAATAAACATATGAAAAAAAATCTCATCACTGGTCATTAGAGAAATGCAAATCAAAACCACAATGAGATACCATCTCATGCCAGTTAAAATGGTGATCATTAAAAAGTCAGATTAAAAACAACAGATGCTGGAGAGAATGTGGAGAAACAGGAATGCTTTCACACTGTTGGTGGGAGTGTAAAATTAGTTCAACCATGTATAAGGCAGTGTGGCAATTCCTCAAGAATCCAGAACCAGAAATACCATTTGACTCAGTATTTTCATTACTGGTATATACTCAATGGATTACTAATCATTCTGTTATAATGACATATACACACGTATGTTTCTTGCAGCACTGTTCACAATAGCAAAGATTTGGAACCAGCCCAAATGCCCATCAATGATACACTGGATCAAGAAAATGTGGCACACAAATACCATGGAATACTATGCAGCCATAAAAAAGGATGAGTGCATGTCCTTTGCAAGGACATGGATTAAGCTGGAAACCATCATTTACAGCAAACTTACACAGAAAGAGAAAACCAAACACCACATGTTCTCACTCATAAGTGGGAGCTGAATAATGAGAACACATGGACACAGGGAGGGGAACATCACACACTGAGGCATGTCAGGGGGTGAAGGGATAGGGGAGGGATAACATTAGGAGAAATACCTAATGTAGATGACGGGTTGATGGGTGCAGCAAACCACCATAGCATGTGTATACCTCTTTAACAAACCTGCACATTCTGCACATGTATCCCAGAACTTAATGTATAATAAAAAATAAATGAATAAAATACAATAAATGTAATTCAGAAAAAGAAAACGTTCTTATAAAAGATTTCAAATAAATACGAGTTGTCCTTTATGTTTTGGTATAACTCATAATTAAAGCCATTTAAGTTTTACTTTGTGTGCATGTGTGAATATGTATTTGATAGGTTTAAAAATAGTTATATAATCAGTGATGTAGTTTTTTCATTACTCTTGATAAAATATAACATTCTAAATTATCTTCATTGACATTTTTACATTTGTTAGAAAACACTAGTTTTATTCTATTTTTCTACACTTTATTATAATGACTTCACTTTTTTTTTTTCTTCATTGATGTTAACATGAGCTGATCTATTTTGTCAGTTTGCTCAAAAACAATCTATTGGTTTTGTTGATTATTTATTTTCTATCTCATTGAATTTATACTTATCTATGTTGGTTGCATTCTATTTCTTTTTTCCTTTTTTTTAATTGCAAATATTCTTTTCAGATTTCAGAATTTTCCCCTTACTTTAGTCCTCAGCCTTAAGTGACATTCTAGTAAATTTTAAATTTACTTATTTATTTGTTTGTTTATTTTTGAGATGGAATTTCACTCTCGTTGCTCAGGCTGGAGTGCTATGGCTCAATCTCATCTCACTGCAGCCTTCACTTCCTGGGTTCAAGTGATTCTCCTGTCTCAGCTTCCCAAGTAGCGAGGATTAGAGAAACCTGACACCATGCCTTTTTAGTAGAGTTGGGGCTTCACCGTGTTGTCCAGGCTGGTCTCAAAGTCCTGGCCTCAGGTGATCCACCTGCCTTGGCCTCCCAAAGTGCTGGAATTATAGGCGTGAGCTACCACACCTGGCTAAATTTATTTTTAACATTTTCTTTTTTTAAATCTTATGCTTTTGCTTAAGATAGAGTATATGAACGGTAGCACTCACCATCACATGATCTTGTTTCTAACATCTGCTCTGGGCACAGATGCTGATTCTCTAGTTCTTGTATAATCACCGCTCTGGATCGGACCTGTATTCCACCAAAGCCTAGATCCTCACCATTCACACAGGTCAGCTGACACAGGCTCCAGGAAGACCAGTCCTTCAAATAACAGTCACCTGGAAAACACACGTTTGTAATTTACACTCATATCCACAGAGAAATCCAGGCAGATATTCATTTTAATTCCAACCCCACTGGGCAGTGTTTTTAGGTATGCCAGTCATACATAATGTTTATAAGATTTAAGTAAGCATTTAATGCTTGCAAATTTATATGTATTTGTATAACTGTCTATAGATATTTTCTGCATAGCTATTACTGGTCTATATGTTGCTTAATGATATCAACGGTAAACTGTGGCGGACAGAAACTCATTCACTATAATTCAGCCCTTCTTAGGATACAACAAACATTTGATCCAAACCTACCGCCACTCTTGTCATGATCATAGTAAAGTGGTTTATTACACGTGAGGTACACACAAAGCCTAAACATAAACAGAATTTGTCTTCTAGGTATTCACAATTTTCAAAAAGTTTGAAGTTCAAGACTGACTAAGCTGGCTTTATGTTTCATTTCTATTTCTTCCCGAGTGGCGGTGAGAGAGGCAATCAAGCAGTTGCTGTACTGGAAATAATGCTATTTCCTTTGATCTACATCTTGAAATCACTTCTCTTTAAAATATTAAGTTTAATAAACATGTAAAATGATCACGTATCATAAATGCACAGATAGCTGAATTTCGACAATCTGATTGTAACGTGATCAACACCCAAATCAAGGAACAAAACATTCCCAGATCTCAGAACCCTCCCTCGTGTGATATATGAAATCATACCATATGTACTTTTTTTGTGTCTGCTTTCTCTCATGTATGTTTGTGAGATCCAGCATACATTTATGAAGTTCTAGTTTGTTCCTTCTTACTACTGTACTTTGTTCCATTGTGTGAATATATCAGAGCTTAGATACCCATTCTACTACTGATGGGCATGTGGGGAGTTGTACATTTTTTCTATCATTATTGCTGTGAACATTTTAGTACAAGTCTTTGGATGAGCTTATATATGCATTTCTGTTGGGTTTGTAACTAGGAGTGCATTGTTTATCCATGCTTCCAGCATCTTAAGAACAGAAAAGATTTTATGAAATATGACCTTTCCATTAACCATTTTTCAGAATGACTGCTTAGTAATACTCTTCAGAGTACACAGTTAATTATGATAGACCCAAATTCACAAGGGTTTCTTATCACTTATTTATTCTAGCCTTGTCATATGAATAATTCATATTGCCTTATATTATGCTGAAGGTGACTGGTATCAGCACAAAGTTGCTTGGAGATGTGATTAATGGAAAAACTTCTTGTGTCATGCCTAAGAAGTCCAGGGAAGATATGAATTATTGACTAAAAGATACATACATAATAGTAAAACAGAGTGATTTTTGTAGACTTATTAAAAAGAATGTAATTGATACTCCTGAAGTACAAATGGTTCTACTAAATTTTAGAAATGCAAAGGAAAAAGCAACTAGAAAGAATTTCTAATTAATCTGAGAAAGTTTTAGTAATCCTTTTATTTCCTAGGAAGTGTCACTTTGGGGTTACGCAGTTTTTAATGATACAGGAAAACAGCTAAAGTTTAAAAAATTCATATCAATATGAAAGTAATATAATTTTACCTCAGTGATTGAAAACTACTTGGAAAGAAAACATATCTTTTTACCAACAGGTTTTATCTCTGCGGCAGTCCACATTTAGCATCATTTATTTTGCAACAAAACTTAATAAATCTTTTAATGATATTCTGTGACTTATGTAATTATCTCCCCAAAGTAATACATGTCGGGCTTCAAAGATTTAATAACAGCAAATGAGAGTGAGATACTTTCTTGTTCTAAACACACTTTTCTATTTTGACCATGTAAACCATTGTAATAACAATAAAATTGCCCTATGCCTGCCAAAGATATGACAATTAAACACATGAAATGTATTTCCTAATTCAGTATTCGAGTCTTTAAGGCTTATTAGTACACATATTGCTAGCTTTCGAAACCCATCATTAGAGAAAACTAGCAAGAGAGGAACTGAAATGAATAGATTGTAATTTACAAGAGAAGAGCAGCCTCCTCCTAGATTTGCAATTACTTTAATTAAAACAGTGTGTTTGTCCTGTTCTGTGTTATCATGGGATCCTGTAATTTTCCTTCACATCATTTTCCACAGATTATAATCTTATGTTTATGTCACTATTAGATTAGCAATTGTTTCTTCCACTAGAAAGTAAGCCGTACAAGGACAGGGTCTGTTGGTCTTCACTGTATCTCTGGCCTCAAGTCCAAGGACTGACCTGTAATTACATTTGGTAAATAACAATCGAATGAGTGGGTAATTCTCCTGCAGGCAGTATAATGAAACCATGTGGGGAGTGTCCATAGTAAGGCATACACCACTGTCTGACAAGGATGCCAGTTCTGCTCAATGGTGTGGATGTCATCACAATCCTATTATTGGTGCTGGAGATTTGGTTTTGGAACAGGTAGGCCTTACAACTTTTAGCGTTGGTCACTTTTTGTTGCCTCTATGACCGTTCAGTACATTGAGGTCCAAAGGTTTAGTCCTTGACCCTGCCTGGAGGTGTCACCTGCTGCCACAGCCTCAGGCTGGGTCTGCAGTGAAGCAAAATGATTTTATTAAATTGAATTGTGTGTGAGATCTTAAATGATAGCAGACCAGTTTCAGCGGCAGGAAATGAAAGAAGGGAATTGCTGGATTGGCAAAAGGATATTATTGGCAGGTGTGGGAATGTCTGAACAGCAATACTTTGCCTGGCTTTAGGAAGTCAGGATTTCTTTTTCCTTTTTTTTTTTTTTTTTTTGAGAGGAAGTCTCACTCTTGTCACTCGGGCTAGAGTGCAATGGCACGATTTCGGCTCACTGCAAACTCTGCTTCCCAGGTTCAAGTGATTCTCCTACCTCAGCCTCCCAAGTAGCTGGGATTACAGGCATCTGCCACTATGCCTAGCTAATTTTTAGTAGAGATGGTATTTCACCATGGTGGCCAAGCTGGTCTTGAACTCCCAACCTTGTGATTCGCTTGCCTCGGACTCCCAAAGTCCTGGGATTACAGGTGTGAGCCACTGCGCCTGGCCGAGAGTCAAAATTTTTTTTTTTTTACATTTTATTTTTTATTGTGATAAGACCATTTAATATGAGATCTACCCAGTTAACACATTTTTAAGTATACTATACAGTATTGTTAACTACAGGCACTATGTCTTACAACTGATCTCTAGAACTTACTCACCTTGCATAGCTGAAACTTTACACTCATTGAGAAGAAGCTGCTTTGCAGGGACTCAATCCCATTTATAAATTTTTGTTAATATATGTTATTCACTTTAAAAATTTTCTTAAATCACATCCTTTTATCTAGAAAATATGTTTTATGCTCCATTATCTTTCTGCCAAATCCTTAATTTTTTGAAGTCTTATTCACAGAAAATAGTTTACAAGAGATACAATTTTTACATCATAATTATAAGCAAATTGGGAGAATATAAATTTTCTATTTGGGGATAAAATACAGGTAATTCATTTTCAATCTGCTCATTTCCAGTCCACTAACAAATTATTGCTCCTATATATTTTTCAAGGATGGGTGGCATATTTGGACATTCAATTTCCCCTACAATTCTCTGCATCAAGCCCAAAGTCATAACTATTAGCTTATCACTGTCTGCCATTTTTCCTATACTGTTTGATACACAACATTTCTGCATGCACCCATTGTGTCTAACACTGAATCAGAACAGCATCTTTCAGAAGTTTCCTCCATACTGTTATTTTGTCTTCTAGTTGCAGATAATCTCTTTCTCACTGAAGACTTTACTAATTATTGTTCTATATTTTACGTTTTAACTACATTTATCTAGGTGTGAGTTTGTTGTTGATTCTAACCTAAACCTAGTTTAAGCTCTTATTGTGAGGACTTAATCTGTTTTTGGCCATTAGGTGTTTAAACACTGGTCTCTCTTTATTCTCTTCTGGAAATCCCAAATAAGTTATGTTTTATCCTTATTTTCTCAACTTTTATTTCATACCTTTCCTGTGGAGCTTGGGCTTAAGGCCTTAATCTCCGTCTCCTGCATATATTAAAACTCCAGAGGTTGTTGAGAGAGGCCACATGGGAGGCGTGGACTTCATCCCTACCTGACAGTAATAAGGCAGTACCCCTTTCCCCATGGGCATAGTGTTCAACTGTTGGCATAGATACTACCAAATAATAAGACTCTTGACCTCCTGTAACTTATACTTTATATGCAACCTGTCATGGCTCTTGTCCTAGGGAAAAATAATCAGAGTATGAATTCTCTTTTGCTGTTGTTACCTGGGCAAGGCTGGGTGCAGGTTTCCTCCAGAACCATGTTTTTATTACCATCTATAATGAGCTCAATGTCAGCACAGAATTCCTCATCCACCACTTTGCTGAAATCATCCGCTGACCCATCACTTACTACACAAGAAATGTTCCTTGTTCTGGTCCCTTCTCCACACTGGGCCTCCTGGAATGGAGGAAGAAATAACTAATTAGAAAAAGAGAAATAATACTTCATTAGAAAGCTCGTCACTTAGTCATCTCTGCACCATTGACTTTGATTTATGAAGATTTAGAGAAGCACTTGAAACCCTAGGGAATAAGCCCTATAGGGTACTAGCAGTAAAGCATACTTTGAACAATTTGTTTCTTTTCTAGCTAAAGGCAGGAAAATAAATCTTTATTAAAATGAAACAGTCTCCAAAGGATTTTAAAAGTACAGGGCAGGGAGTGTTTGTTATCAAACTAATTAATTGGTTATAAAATGGCAAGGCACATAAAATTTTAAGAAGCTTGTCATCTGTAAGCTCTGAAACCAAGTCTCTGCAGATAAAGAGTACACGCTTCCTTACAACTTCTTGAGAATTTATACCTGCACTTGGCATGGAGACCACTGGCCATATTGCCACCGATAACAAGGCTTCACTGGGCAGGGTTTGGACTGGTCCATCAGGGAAGGGCAAGGTCTTCCATCACCCTGAAAGGGCTGGGTCACTGTTCGTCTTCGGATCATTTTTCCTTTAAGACAAACAAAGTGATGCAACTTTAATGATATGTTATGGTTTTGCAAGCAGATATCTCATTGGGAGAAGGCATCACAGTGGTATCTCCTGAGGAGATCCAGGAACAAGTAAGGCTTACATCTTTTGGAAAGAAAGACAACCAATTCAACCTTTCTGAAGATTATCTGACATGGCTTAAAGCAAGATGGATATTGTATTTCATATTCCTTGACCATTAGCCTAATGTGAGTTATGCATGGTACAAACAAACCTGTGAGGCCACATGTTTGAGAACATTCTGACCAAGGAGACCAATCAGAAAGCTGACAGTTCACAGGGCATTCCACCACGCAGGACGTGTTCATCTGCCAGTTCTTCTCCAGGCCCAGCTAGAAGAACAGAGCTAGATCAGTATGTATATTGTAAATCTGGGGAGGGAGTCAGAGAACGAGGAGACAAGAGAGAAGAGAAACGGAGAAAAAGCAAGCCACATAACAGAATAAAATGGTACCTGGGGGACAAACATCCAAATTATTAAAAGTATAAAGTGGTTGGACCCAGGAGAGTGGAAGTTAGGGGCACAGGATGAAAGAAGGGGCCCACTGACTCTATCCTTATGTATTGTTTATTTCCAATAAACAATGAAAAAAAGTAGATTTAGTCTCCAATTTGGTTGAATTTCCCTAAATGGGGAACAAATAAATATAAGCATAAATACTTTGCATTAGCTAAACACCAATGATATCAGTATTTTGATCTACAATTGTATCTTAAAATTGTACTTATTTTAATGTATGGTAAATTGAAAAGCAAAAGGAAAAGGTTCTAAACACAAAATGCTACTCAAAACTAATGATATTCATGAATTGAAATAATATAAACTATCAGCTATATTTTTAATAAAGAAATATGGGTCACCAAAGTTTTGTTTATGAGTATCTTACGTGAATTTTTTTAAAACAAAGATTTTCACTTCTAAAACTTAACAACTAACTGTGGTATAATTCAGTTACTCTGGTGTCAGACCCTCTCATCAGATAATAATGTGCCGTTTTGTTGGCATTTGGGTTCCATTACCGATCATTTAAATATTCTGCTTTAAAACTATAAGATGATGTTTCAAATTCTTCTGCTGTACTTTCCAACGTTTAAAATGTCTAACGTACAAAATATCACTGAAATAGGAAAATGTCAGCTGGGTGCGGTGGCTCATGCCTATAATCCCAGCACTTTGGGAGGCCTAGGTGGGCAGATCACCTGAGAGCAGCTTGGCCAGCATGGTGAAGTGTAACCTCTACTGAAAAAAGCTAAAAATAAAAAATTAGCTTGGAGTGGTGGTACATGACCATAGTCTCAGCTACCCGGGAGGCTGAGGCAGGAGAATTGCCTGAACCCAGGAGGTAGAGGTTGCAGTGAGCTGAGATAGCGCCACTGCACTCCTGTCTGGGCAACAGAGTGAGACTCTGTCTCCAAATGAAAAAAAAAAAGAAAAAGAAATAGAAGAGCTTATTAGGAGAATATGAATTTTTAAAACTAGTAATTCTTGGAATTTCCAAGACCTTTTTTATTTCCGCATGAAAGAGAAGTTTACGTTTTCTTATTTATACAGCAGATAATGGCAAACGAGAAATTTTTTGAAACATGTTGTTTCAAATATAGCTTTTAGCTCTACGTTACTCATAGAGAGATCAGATCAAAGCTTTGTGTAAACATCTCTCTGCAGGCACTCCCATTATATTCTATACGAGTAATACTTGACAAAGCTGAGTATTTGGTATGAAAACTAACATATCACTCAACTGAAGCCTCATAAAGCCTCTTAAAAGTCATGGGAGGTAGGAGATAGGAATCTTGAGGTGATATGATAAAAATAATATGTTACATTTAAGGTAAATAATAGTTTCATGGGGAGAGTTTGAATCACACAATTCAATTATTACTGATTTACATATCTACTACTTAGACATTTTAGCCCTGTACTACTGTTTTCCTTACATTGATTAGCTCTCTTTTAATTCTCTCTCTCATTTACCTAAACATACATGTCTAAATAAATTAAAGAAGAAATCTATTCAAAAATCTATGAAATAGGAAAGAAGAAACCAATTTCTGGGTATCCGATGTGTAAATGTCTGAAAAACACTAAAGATAAAAATACTACATGAATGCTAGTTGGGTGTAACTCTAATTTTCCTCTTTGTTGGATAATCCATCTTTCTTTGCGGCTGTCAGGGAAGCAGCAAGTGTCACCTACTGCTGTGGCACTGAATGCAGGGTTCGCGCAGTCATATTTTAAGTCTTGAAGACAGTGTTTGCTCGAACGTTAAAACTGGAGTCCCTAATCGTCCTGAAGCATTCAAATATTATAATATTTGCATGTGAGCTTAATATGCAGACTCCCATATAATTAAAATTAGTTATTTCCTGGCTGTTTACTCATATTTAAGAAATCAAGAATCCTGTTTACAGCTTTGTCCTTTAGTCATATGAAAGAGTTTAAAATTGGTCATGTATGCTTTGGTTTCAGTGTTCACAAAGCTCTGAGTTAGTTATTTTATATTTCATCCTACCAAGGAGGGCATTTAAGTTTGCAAAAAGAGGATGTACTAATCAACTAGAAGTAAAGCTCTCCAGCCACTATATGGCTATTATCTTCATTAATACTGCTGCTATTCTTATAATGGTTATATTGCTTCAATGTTATTGGTTACAAAACCAAAATGATTCAAGTGTGAAATTTCCAATTATTCAAATGTAAATAATGAATAGATTAAGTTTTAAGGTTATAGCAGGAGGCATTTATTAACTAAACAAATTTGTTTTCAACACATGTGAGCACTCTGCTGGGATTTAAGAAAGTTAAGTTAGGTCTGCATAATAAGTATATCAAATGAATTAAAATATTTCTGTTTAGAATTTTCCCCTAGGTGTTGGAACAATTCACTGTGGGCTTATAATAACTCCAGGATGTGTAGACAGAAGACATGGTGACCATGTATATTAAACTCTAATGAGGTTACAAACTCCTTCTCGTTTACTCCAGATCTATTAAGGCTCCTGCTTATCTTGATTGGTATATGACCCAGGGACCTCAAATGCATGGAGTGTCAATATTTGTCATGTTTTTGATATAGAAATCAGACAAAATTATTAAAACATGAAGTGTAGCTTCATAAAAACTAAGAAAGGCCAATATGTGTTCTCACATTTCAGAAGCTCACATCTAGATATGATGACATTGCTTTGATCAGTCAGATAATTACCAGTTACAATTCTCTGTACCTAGAAGATAGTAATGACAGACTTCATTCCTTTGTTTGAATTTGAGGCTCTCAATCAGACCGGACTGCTTAGATGCACACAGCTGGGTATTAGATCCTAATATCAAAATCTGCTAGGAAACCACATGTGAGCAATGTTTAGCAACAAAGAGAATAAATGATGGACCTTGGCAGGTGTCCTAGGCACTACACAAAATTCACATCAAATTACAAAAGATGATACGTAGTCTGATTAAGATTTATTGCTTTTATTCACCTTGACTACTTATTGTTCCCTAAGCATTTCTTTCAGAATAGGCTAATTACTATGCTACCTTTGGGCGCCAATCAGAAGAAAATACAGAAAATTACATGTAGGGATCAGTGGTGTTAGGCATTGCGTCTTTTCAAGAACATACTTAGCAGCCTGCGAATAGCGCAGAAAACATCTGCTGGCAATGAGCTGCATGCAGCACGGGTCACTTGGCTCAGCATGCACTGAAATTATTAGGGAAGAATTTACTCACAAAGATATAACACTAAATCCACCCACCTCTTCACAATATTTCAGGTCAACTGACTTGCCATCACTTCGAACACAATCCAACATCCTTGTTTTAATTCCATTTCCACAAACTGCCTTCTCACTCAGCTGACATGTACTCCAGTCTGAAAAAAGGAAGCCCATCAGAACAGAAGGCTCAGTATGAAACAGATTTCAAATGAAACTCTGATGACCCGAATCCCATATTTAATTCACAACTGCTTCCTAAGCCCCATAATCAATCATCCCCCATTCAGAGCATATGGGTCTCAGCTTTGAACATATCAGGAGTCAAATGGAATTGCTGGGGTTGCACATGGCTACAGGGTTTATTCTTAAAGGCAGATGTCTACTTGAAAATCTTGATAGCCGTTTAGTGACATTGTAAAAATGGCTTTGACCTGCAGATCAATGTCACTTAAAAACTTTTTTTCCCAATAAAAATATTTAAAATCTTTGCATTGCTTATATTTTAGCAAAATAATCATAATTGTGACAGATGGTACTTTATGTAACTATATTCAAATAAAACATTATATATTTTACTTCTTGTCTATATTTATAATGCATAAAAATGCATACATTTATTAGAGTGATAAAAATCACTTTGGCCATACTTATTTCTCTTACATCTTTTGCAAAATAACTTGTTCATCTCTTTTCACTGGGTAACATAGCACATCCGTGATAACTTTGATTTGTTTTGTATCATCAATGGAAATTGAAGAGAAAAACCAAAAGAAACAAAAGGCCAGTGTGACCTTTAATGTGTCATTGTACAGTCTCTTGAGTTTGTTTCAGAGTGAAAATTACTTGGGAAAAATTCCAAAGTAAGCTTTGGTGTTGTCTCAAATCATATGAACTCTTTCCTAGAGTATGCATCTTGATGGTATTAAATGAGATTTAGGGGAAAAATGCAAATACTAATAAACTTGTTTTTCTGAAAATACTCATCTACTTTTCTTTATCTGTACCTTTTATAGCATTGATTTATAATCTTTGGTAAGTTTAAGATTGCTGACATTTTTGTATCAAACTAATCATGTTTATAAACTGCCCACACCTCAAGAATTGTTGCCCTAGTATGTTTTAAACAATTAAGCATCTTCTGAAAAAGACATTTTTGAGTAAATCTGATACTTGTGCCAAAAATATTTCTTTTAGATTCACCTCCCCATAGTGAGAGGCTGTCTTACGTAGGAACACTTAGCATATTCACAACCTACTTTAAGGGCTAATGTCTGTGAGACATTTTTATTTCCTCTATCTTAGTGTTTACTAAAAAAACAGATTAATGTTTGTCATTTAATAAGTAATTCTTTCTGGGACTATAAGTAGCATGTCCAAAAGGCACACAGATGGAGATGAACTACGCTGACGGGAATGCTTCAGAGCTAGCAGGCACGGCATTTGGACTTAACTCTGTGATCAGATGACGATCCATGTACCTGTTACATTATAATCATAGTGGTAGCAGTTTTTGTTCAGGTTACAGGGTTCCTGCTCAACAGCATCAGGGCAGGATCTTCCTTCATCAGCTGGCTGTCTGATGGGATCAGCTGACCTTTGCCGGAAACTGCTTTGATTGCAAGGCTTAAAAAGAACATTACAAATTCTCAGAAAGGTGAATACTCAGCTAAACAACTATTATATTAGAGACAGCACTGGAGCAGGAGTTAGAACATTCGGGCCACTGGCTAACTCAAGTCGGTCAACCTCATTATGCCTCAGTTGTTCACTGTATAAAATGAATTGTTGAATGAGATTTTGATGTACCATCTAGCTCTAAGATGCCATGTATCAAATGCTAATACACACATCACCTCACATCTGTACAAATACACACATATGGTGGTCATATTAATTATTACAGAATGCGAATTATATCAAGTTCTATGTATGTTATTATATAGTTATATAATTATATGTTTGTGGATTATGTATAGTCTTTTGGACCTTAAAAAATGACATTTTAAGAATAACTTTAAATGACTAGGTCTTAGTAAGTTTTCTTTTCCTGATGCACACATATAAATGCACAAAAACAATTCTAAATTCTAATTTTAATTATTAATTTAGAATTGAAAAAAAAAAGTTCTAAGCCCTGCAGCTGACCAAATGGACCCCCTCTTGGCCATAGGGACCACAGAGAAACCTTGAAAACTGAGTTCTTGGCATTTAGGCTTTCTTCCTTGAGGGTTATACAGAAACCAGACCTTTGGAAAAATGCACTCCATACCTCATCAACCAATTGTCTTGAAACTGCCTTTGCAAAAATTACAACAGTAAGAAAATTATTGCAGTAAAAGAGATCTGCTCTAACCCACACTCATCTTGCTCTTTCCTTAATTATTCCTGGGTTTGGGGGCTGAACTAACTTCAAGATATATTTAGTGTATAGTTTAAATGATAACAGGCCTTTCTGCAAACTCAAATGCCTTTGTAAAGCTACTGAAAGGCCATCAGGCTGGGAGAGGAGAGGGATCTGAATTCTGCTAAGGTGTAGACATAAATGACTCCTAGCAACTCCTGCAGACAATACCACTATCGTTGATTGGCCTTTTGAGATGTCCTTTCAGGTTTTTTGCATGGGTAACACCCAGGGCTCTACCTGGACCTGCCAACCCAGTTCCTGTGGCCCCACACTGAAGAACTCAGCCCACAGGAATTCAGCTTTGACCACCTGTGATTTCATTTCTGCCCCAGCCAATCAAGCACCCATTACCTGGCAGCCCCACCCCTTCCCCCAAACTGCCTTTGAAAAACCCCTACCTAGGAGCTTTACATGAGACTGATTTGAGTACTAACTCCATCTTCCATGTGGCATGGTTGGCCTCATGTCTATTAAACTCTTTCTTTACTGTAATACCCTGGCCTTTGTGCAGCAGGCAGGAAGAACCCCTTGGGTGGTTACAGCCTGATCCTACTTCTCCCTTTTATGTTTGCAACAAAATAACCAACCAGCATTTCTTCCTAATAGGAAACCACTGATCATGGAGTTGTTCTGGACAGTCCATGGAGGATGTACAGTCAGGGTTTCTGTGACCTTTCACCTTTTGACATTAGAGCACTGAAAACTCACACTTGGATCATGCTAATGCCACCATTTTTGGTACATGGGACACATAAGAGGGGCATAAAGCTCGATCGAACATGCATACTTTTCTCTGTTTATAAATATTCATGACTCCTCATATAACTTATTAAATATGTATATTTGGCCACCCTGCTCAACACAAATTATTGTTCCCTTTGCCATTCCATAGAAGTGTCTGTTTTGAGCTTCTGGCTGGCAGCTGTCAGAGTGGCCACCTTGCAGGCCACAACCCTTTATGACATGTAAAGTTCTCCTTTCCAAATTTATGACTGTGTCAGTCTTCAGTTGACAACAATCTAAAAAGACTGGCTTGCCATTCGTCTACTGGTACAGTCTTCTGAAAACAATTGGCTTCTAAGGACAGGAAGAAACCAGGAGCAAGCCCCCTTGGATTTTTTTTTTTTTTTTTTTTTTTTTTTTTGAGACGGAGTCTCGCTCTGTCACCAAGCTGGAGTGCAGTGGTGCGATCTCGGCTCACTTCAACATCTGCCTCCTGGGTTCAAGCAATTCTCCTGCCTCAGCATCCCGAGTAGCTGGGACTACAGGTTCATGCCACCATGCCCAGCTAATTTTTATATTTTTAGTAGAGACGGTATTTCACCATGTTGGCCAGGGTGGTCTCAATCTGTTGACCTCGTGATCCACCTGCCTTGGCCTCCCAAACTGCTGGGATTACAGGCATGAGCCACCGCACCCGGCCCACCTCCTTGGACTTTTTAAGGCCTAAAATAATTGCTTCCTCCTCCCCTCCTTGCACTTTGATCACACCACTGGAATAACACTGTCTTGATATAATGTGTATTACATAAAGGTCTTGTTCCTTTCTACAGTACACTAGGAGAAGACTTACGTTTTAGATATCTGTATATTCTCCCTACCTAACACAGTTCCTGATAGCCAGTAAAAGCTTAATCTGTATCTGTTTAATGAAGGCTTGAGAAGAAACAAGGTGAGTTAAAGGTAAAATATGTCAAATTAAATTTAGGCTAACATTGCCTCCTTACATAATTTATGTTCATCCTAAAGATTTCTTCATACATAGTTAACTGTACCCTATTCGGATGTGTAAACAGATTATAACCTGCTCTTGTGCAATCACCAAGTTTCAGACAGATGTAGCCCATTGTTCAAATCATGATCAAGTATGACAAATATAAAGAAAAATTGTAAAAATATCTCAGGATCTCAGACTTCCTATGCAAAAGAAAAGGGTAAACCTGGAGGCCATCTTGCAACACTCTCTTCCAAATGAATAGCTATTGCTAGCATTATGCCAGATGGCCATGGAAAGGTAAAAGGCCTGAGGCATCTGTGGATGACTCTCCCATAGAACATTCACAGGTAAATTCCTTTATGGCCTACCACAAAAAAAAGAGCATATCAACTGTAACTTTAGGTCTATAGTCTAACTCTTAAAGCTGAAGTCTGATTCCCCACTGACACTATGAATTGCAAGCTTATTTTCCCAGGTTCAGAACAAAAACAAGAGGAGATCAGTCATTCTTCCATCTACCCGGAGATGTCTGCATAATTGATTCTTCCTCTATTCCTCTTTTCTCTTTAAACATTCCCCTTATCTTATGTAAAATGTAGGTTTACTAGGCATTAACTAATGTCTCACAGGAATATAACTATTCGCCGTAATGCCTACCTGCCTCTCTTCCTACCTGCCTCCCCACACTTAAGGGAACGTATAAACATAAAACCTCCTGAACACCTCTTCAGAAAACCTCGTTGCTTTTTCCCAGATGTGTCCTAGAGCTGGTTTATTAAACCTCGATTGATTGGAACTTCTGCCTCACTCATTTTGTTTGTCACACATGTCGAGCTGTAACCAGTCTAGCTGTTTCTGAACCTCACTTTTGTCTTCTGTACATCATTTTCTGTAGGTCACTTATATATTCTTCTGCCCAAGAAACTTTTTCAGCCACATGGCAGTGCCAAAGTCTCTCTGAACCTGTTCTGGTTTGGGAGGCTGCTCAATTTCTGAATGGTTCTTTGCTCAACTAAACTCTGTTAAATTTAATTTTTCTAAGGTTTTTCTTTAAAGAAATATAAAGCCTGGGAAGCACAGTCTATTCACCTCAATGAGTTTTATTCTTATCCAAACATTCCTATTGGCAAACTCTCAGGAACACCAAATATGCTTCACCAACTCTTATATATATAATAGAGTCTCCATCATTCTTCTAAGATGATTATCCTGGTCATTTAATACAGAAACCTAATGGACAAAGTTCCAGTTTACTGGTTCCTTTTATTAGAACCCCTATTAATAAGTTTAAGAAGAGGGCTGGTTCTATATTTCCTACTGTATAAAAATGAAATCTTTTTATATTACCTGACAGTAAAAATTCTCACTATTATAAACGTAGTTAGACAATGTAGCATGCAGCCCAGTGACTTGATGGAACTTCAAATCTGATGCTATGAAATTAGAACAGAAAATCAATTATATACCCTTGTGAAACAGTTGATTCTTTATTACAATTTAACTTGCCTTCCAGTCAAATGCCATTTTTGTTTTACTCCTGCTATATCAGTTTTCTGCCAATCAGTATCTTTAACACTGAAATGGAGTATCAGTTTCTATTTGGAAAATATGCACCATAAACTCTTCTTTGAAACTGGTTTATATTGTATTTCGATAAAATAATTCCATATTAGTTATTTTTCTCATGCTTTTGATGCTGTTTTTGAAATGTACAGTTTTACAGAGGTGCCCATGGGTAAGCCAAATGTCCTATGTAAGCAGCCAGTTCTGTTTCAAATGACTCTCTTCCCAGAGTCTCGTGGATGAGCCCCTACTGGCTGTTGAAACATAGAAGCTTTGTGTGATTTGAAACTCTCAGCTGGCTTTCCAGGCCCAAAGACACAGAGCCAGTGTGTAAAGAGAGATTCACTGATGCATAGCTTTCTTCTTTCTACTTAGCTTCTTACCCAGGATCTCTTGCTTTTTAGTGTTAATACCCCTGCTGCTGTGTTCCCACTGTGTGAGAGATTATTCCTACCATTTAAATAAAAGGTATTGGGCAAAAAGCAATGGATGACAATAACCTGACACCATTAAAGTACCTTTACTTCATTCATTTTCCCGTTTACCTGGAGGGAATCATTATCACCACGGTAGTTTTTAACATGCTGTGTATTTTTCAGGCAAACTGAAGGCCTTTTGTGCTGGGTTAGGATGATGAGTTGAGTAAGGCTTGCAAGAAGTGGCGCTATTCTAGTGTGAGAGGAAAGATTACAGACTTTAAATGCACAGTTGTAGAATGAAGTGGCTGAGAAAACACCTTGCTTTGGTAAATATGGCCCAAAACTAGATTCTACATTGAAATTATTATATTTTAAAAATAATGTTTTAAACCTTCAGTGGCAAGGAATTAAATAAACTCTACATTAATAAAAAGACTAATCATCTCACCAATACACATCGGGTCCACGGACCCCATTCAGATATCACACAGTCCTCGGGGCATGGTAATTTGCACTCTCTAGAGCCCAGAGGCATCTCTTCTGGGTCACAGAGGTAATCCTCTACATGTTCAGAAGGGCCATCTGCTGTATTCTGCATGCATCTAGAAAAGAACATAAACAGATTCTAGAAAATACATATATTTTCTAGAAGAGAAGAAAACACGACAGTTAGAATAATGACCAACCCACAGGACAGATGGTTCTCCTTAAGACATTGTTATGGGGGTGGGGAGTAGGAAGCTTTGTTATCTAATAAGTAAAATTCTCCAAAAATGAAAACTTAACAGGATCTTCGCCTTTCCTAATTATCTGTAGTGCTTCTGCATGATTCAAAAATGTATGTCTGCATTCATGAGTCTTTGAATAAAAGAGCCACTGTGGATATGTAAACTCTGCATGTTAGGTGAGCTTCCCCTGAAAGAAGAGGGTTATTTATACACGTATGAAGCAGAAAGTACTGAGGAATTCTTCAAAGAACTTCATAGAGAGCTTACAATTGGGAATATAATACATTTATTCTTCCCAAGAAAATGATGGATTCCACAGAGAAGGTAGAATTAGTTGATTCATATGTGATGAAAGACCAGGCACACTGAAATCTCTAAGTGGGCAATTTCTTTTAAGTGTTTTTGAAAATAACTAGAGGCATTTATCAATTTGTTTTGCCATCTTAGAAGTAATTTTAGCCTCCCTTCTGCTGTGACTCTTAAAGTGACAAGCAAAAAGACAATTATAATTGGTATAGCACAGGTTCTCTAAATTTGGTTATTTGGATTTTTCTACTACTTAAAAAAATTGTTAGTTTGTGTTCCATTTTATTCTCTTGTAAGCAGTCAGGAAGGCCTCTTTATTCATCTTTTGGGAATCTTATTAATGTGGCTAGTATGAGACTTCACTCTTACCATAGTAAATAATCTCTCTGGGCAATTTTAAGTATTACAGTAGGAGAGAAAACCCTTTATCTTTCATGTATAACTTGGAAAAGGTCAGCTACCTTAATAGATTTAGGAAGAGAACTGCATTTGAGGAGATGAAAAGGAAGGCTTGACTCCCCAGTTTCTCAAACCTAGTGTAATGTTTCAAAATATCAGTTGAATTCTATTGCCACTGATACCTGGAATCCCAACTTTTCTCTGTGCTGTTGGTCATGTCTTAATCGGACTTATAGCCTGAAAAAATTACCCATGTGCTGGATAAATATGTAAAAAGCAATCACAAAAATATGCAAATTAGACATTGATACAATTTCATTGTTGAAAGAATAAATCAAATTAGGAATATTTTTAGGATAATTTTAGTTTCCCAGGAAAACGTTCTACCTTCAATATCATTTAAAAAATGTTCTGTTGACAGCAGGTTAGAGACAACATGTTGCAGATGGCATTTCAGTGCTTAAAGGTTGGATTTAGTCCTAAGAATAGATTACACTTGCAGTAGATACTGTCACTATATATAAGGATTAACTTGTAGAATTACCTATTGATCCAGAGTTAAGAACAGATCTCTAACACTCTATTCAGCAGTTATGTACATAAATATTTTCAAAGATTTCTCTTGATATGATTTGGATCTGTGTCTCCACCCAAATCTCATGTTGAATTGGAATTCTCAGTGTTGGAGGAGGGGCCTCCAACACTGAGATCACTAGATCATGGGGACAGATGTTCCCCTTGCTGTTCTCACGACAGTGAGAGAGTTATCATGAGATCTGATGGTTTAAACGTGTGCAGCCCTTCCCCCTTTGCTCCTCCTCTCTCTTGCCACCATGAGAAGATGTGCTTGCCTTCCCTTTGCCCTTATGCCATGATTGTAAGTCTCCTGATGCCTCCCCAGAAACAGAAGCCTATACAATCCACAGAACCATGAGCTAATTAAACCTCTTTTCTTTACAAATTACCCCATCTTGGGTAGTTCTTTAATAGCAGTGTGAAAATCAATACAGAAAATTGGCACAAGAGAAGTGAGGCATTGCCACAAAGATACCTGAAAAAGCGAAAACAGCTATGGAACTGGGTAATGGGCAGAGGTTGGAACGGTTTGGAGGGATCAGAAGAAGACAGGAAGATGAGGGAAAGTTTGGACCTTCCTGAAGACTTGATGAATGATTGTGACCAAAATGCTGGTAGAAATATGGATGGTAAAATCCAGGCTGAGGTGTTCTCAGATGGAGATGAGGAACTTACTGGAAAGTGGAGTAAAGCTCACTTTTGCTATACTTCAGCAAAGAGATGGGTGGCATTGTGCCTGTACTCTAGAGATCTGTGGAATTTAAACTTGAGAGAGATAATTTAGGGTATTTGGTGGAAGAAATTTCTAAGCAGCAAAGCATTCAAGATGTGACCTGGTTGCTTCTAAAAGTGTACACTCATTTGCATAAACAGAGAAATGACCCCAAACTGGAACTTATATTTCAAAGGGAAGTAGAGCATAAAAGTTTAGAAAATTCGCAGCCCAGCCATGTGGTAGAAAAGAAAACCCCATTTTCTGGGAAGGAATTCAAGCCAGATGCAGAAATTTGCATAAGTAAAGAAGAGCCAAGTGTCAGTAGCCAAGACAATGGGGAAAATGCCCCCAAGATGTTTCAGACATCTTCATGGCGGCCACTCCCATCACAGGCCCAGAGGCCTAGGAGGGAAAATTGGTTTTCTGGGACAGGCTCATGGCTCCACTGCTCTGTGCAGCCTCAGGACATGGCACCCTGCAACTCAGCCTCTCCAGCTCCAGCCATGGCAAAAAGGAGCCAATGTACAGTTCAGGTTGTTGGTTTAGAGGGTGCAGCTCCCAAGCCTTTGTGGCTTCTACATGGCATTGGCCCTATGGGTGCACAGAAGGCAAGAAGGAGTTCAGGCTTGGGAGTCCCCACCTGGATTTTAGAGGATGTATGGAAATGGACTGGATGTCCTAGCAGAAGTCTGCTGCAGAGTGGAGCCTTCAGTACTAGGCCAGTGTGAGGTGGAATTGTGGGGTTGGATCCCCTCCATAGAATCCCCACTGCGGCACTGCCTAGTGAAGCTGTGGAAGTAGGGCCACCATCTTCCAGACCTAAGAATGAGAGATCCACTGACAGCTTGCACTGTGCACCTGGGAAAGCTACAGACACTAAATGCCAGCCCATGAAAACAGCCTTGGGGACCATACCCTGCAGAGGCACAGAGGTCAAGCTGCCCAAAGCCTTTGGAACCCCTGCCCTTGTGTCATTGTGACCTGGATGTGAAACATGGAGTCAAAGGAGATAATTGTGGGGCTTTAAAATTTAATGACTTATCTGCTGGGTTTTGGACTTGCATGGGGTCTGTAGCCTCTTTGTTTTGGCCAATTTCTCACATATGGAATGGGAGAACTGTATCTTGGAAGTAACTAACTTGTTTTTGATTTACAGGTTCATAGGCAGAAGGGACTTGCCTTGTCTCAGATAAGATTTTGGATTTGGACTTTGGAGTTAATGCTAGAATGAGTTAAGGCTTTGGGGGACTGCTGGGAGGCATGATTGTGTTTTGAAATGTGAGGAGTAGGTGAGATTTGAGAGGGGCCAAGGTAGAATGATATGGTTTGGCTCTGTATCCCCACCCAAATCTCATGTTAAATTGTAATTCCCAAAGTTGAGGGAAGGACCTGATGAAAAGTGATTGGATCATAGGGCAGATTTTTCCTTTGCTATTCTCATGATAGTGAGTTTTTGAGATTTGTCACTATTTTTATATTTATTTATGAGACAGAATCTCTCTCTGTTGCCCAGGCTGGAGTGCAGTGGCATGATCTCGGCTCAGTGCAACCTCCGACTCCTGGGTTCAAGTGATTGTCCTGCTTCAGCCTCCTGAGTAGCTGGGACTACAGTCTCATGCCACCACACTCAGCTAATTTTTTTATTTTTAGTAGAGACAGGTTTTCACCATGTTAGCCAGGATGGTCTCAATCTCTTGACCTCGTGATCCATCCACCTCACCCTCCCAAAGTGCTGGGATTATAGGCATGAGCCACCACACCTGGCCAAACCTCTTTTCTTTATAAATTACCCAGTCTTAGGTAGTTCTGTATAGTACTGTGAGAACAGATTAATACATCTCTCTTCTTTTTATGTTTTGTTATACAAGTGATATATTCCTTTTAAGAAATCAGAAGTAATAAAACTTTCCCTTATTTCATCAGAGATAGCCTACTCTTAACAGATATTAATAGAATATTACTTTAAATGTATATTTTCATTTTACAAAATAGAAGCAAACTTTACAGACTATTTCTACCATTTAAAAAATCTACAGTATATTATGAACATCTTCTTGTAACTATTTTTCTAAGACATATTTTAATGCCTGCATTTAAATTCCACAGCTTCAATGTGCCACAACTGCTAAAAATCTCCTAGTGTGAAGGCTACTATCCAGAATCTATGGAGAACTTAAACAAATGTGCAAGAAAAAAACAAATAACCCCATCAAAAAGTGGGCAAAGGATATGAACAGACACTTTTCAAAAGAAGACGTTTATGCAGCCAATAAACATATGAAAAAAAAAGCTCATTATCACTGGTCATTAGAGAACTGCAAATCAAAACCGCATTGAGATACCACCTCATGCCACTTAGTATGGCGATCATTAAAAATCAGGAAATAACAGATGCTGGAGAGGATATGGAGAAATAGGAATGCTTTTATACTGTTGGTGGGAGTGTAAACTAAGTCAACCATTGTGGAAGACACTGTAGTAATTCCTCAAGGATATAGAAATAGAAATACCATTAAACACAGCAATCCCATTACTGGGTATATACACAAAGGATTATAAATCATTCTACTATGAAGACACATGCACATGTACATTTACTGCGGCACTGTTTACGATAGCAAAGACTTGGAACCAACCCAAATCCCCATCAATGATAGACTGGATCAACAAAATGTGGTACACATCCTCTATGGAATACTGTGCAGCCATAAAAAAGGATGAGTTCATGTCCTTTGCAGGGACGTGGATGAAACTGGAAACCATCATTCTCAGCAAACTAACACAGGAACAGAACACCAAACACTGCATGTTCTCACTCAAAGTGGGTGTTCAACAATGAGAACACATGGACACAGAGAGGGGAACGTCACACACTGGGGCTTGGGGGGTGGAGGACTGGGGGAAGAACAGCAGCAGGTGGAGGGATCGGAGACGGATAGCATTAGGAGATATACCTAATGTAGATGAGGGGGCGATGGATGCAGCAAACCACCACTATGGCACGTGTATACCTAAGTAACAAACGTGCATGATCTGCACATGTGCCCCAGAACTTAAGGTATAATTTAAAAAAAAAATTAAGAGAAAAAAAAAATACACAAAGAAGTCCTAGGCTGAAAGTTTTCTCATATAAAATGTAAACCCTTCATTGACATACAGAGACTAAAATTATCTTAAATGCAAGCAAACATTGTATTTGATGTTAAAAAATTAAATAAAATTACATTTAGTAAATCATCAAATAAAGTTTCTATTGTGGTATTTAGACTACTTATAGGCTTTATTTGTGTTACTTTGTATTACAAATTTTTATAATCACCCTAGAATACAGAATAAATATTTGGATCAAGTTTTGAGCACAAAGGAAAGCGCTTTAAATTCCTTTGCTTTCTTCAAATTCTTGGCCTTTCTCCTTTCTAAGGAGCAAGAATTATGCTGTGAGAAACTGACCTGTATTAGAGATTCATGGTGTAGAACCAAGTTGCAGGTAAACGGTGGAGTCAGAGGCCCATCACAGGTGTGTTAATGTGTATTTTCTGCATATATTTGAAAAGCAGTAATAACTAGATCTGTCTGCTTTCTATTATCACCAGGTACTGGCAATTCTAAAAAAAGTCATGACAAAAAATCCCTCCCTACTAAGGCAAACCACTTCTACCACCACTCCTTGATAGGCCGTGGCAAACTTAAAGAGGAGGAGTGTAACTGAATAAATTTAAACCTGCTTCTTTATAGACCCATCTATCCTGAATGTCACCCAGCGCTTGCATTGAAGCAGGACATTTTGACCTTCATTAGCAGAGGATAATGTACGGGAGGTGTACTACTCAATCAGTAACAAAGAGGAACATCATTACATGATTAGAGATCGCAATCAATACTGACCTCTTTTCTCTATTTGCATTGAAGTTGTTTACTGAAAAACTAAATTGATCTGAAAAGTTACTTTGCTTAGAATGTGTTTGGAAATGATGAGAATATCTATTTACAAAGCAAAAAAAAAAAAAAAAGTCAGGAGGCTGAGGCAGGAGAATTGCCTGAACCCAGGAGGCGGAGGTTGCGGTGAGCCGAGATTGCGCCATTGCACTCCAGCCTGGGTAACGAGTGAAACTCCGTCTCAAAAAAAAAAAAAAAAAAAAAAAAAGTAACATGTCCACAGATAGGAAAGGCTGTAAAAAACAACCCAGTAGTTCTTTTACTGTAGTTTTTTTGTTTTGTTTTGTTTTTTACTAACTAAACAACCAACCTGACCAAATTCTTAATGTAATATTTTTTAATTTTGAAGAAAAAATTACTTTGAAAGGAGAATAGTGGAAAACAGAATCTCTTGTTTTTTCTGTGTCTCTATCTACTCATTACCTCCCTCCTCCTTCCCTATTCCCAGTCCACCTATATTATGATGCTGAAAGAAATAACTAGAGAGTTCGATGTGCTTTTGAGAAAAGAAATAGAAAACTTTTTATTAGAAACAAAGTTATACATAAGTATATATGCAAAAGTTTTATATGGTAAAACAAATAGTAACTTGTTCTGCTTTCTAACTGAAGTATATTAAAAATTGTCAATCTAAAACGCATGAAAGTTTACGTTATGGGTAAGAATGAACTTCTTCATAACATGGTTGTGGAGTTTCACGTTTGTCTTTCTGGGCATCACTGAGAAGTGTTAAAAGAAACCAGTGTTTTTAAAAAGAGTGACAGGAGAGTTGGGTTTGAATGCCAATGCTGCCACTTTACTAGATGGGAGTTCTCGGTATGTTATTTAGTACTTGGGAATAGAATCTGTAAAATGGAGGTGATGAAATCTCATGTACTTGTTTTCACAGAGTTCTAGAGCCCTTAAGCGTCACGTGATAGATGCTGTATGGAAAATTTAGTGAGTATCAATGTTGTGTTAGGCAGTAGGGAAATCCTATGAATATGATGGGGTCTTTGTTTTAAGAAATTATAAAGTTTTATTAAGAGGATAGACATGAAAATGTGTCTTTTCAACACAGTGAGGGGTATATGGGGTGTTACAGAACAGCCCTGTCCAGTGGAACTTTCTGCCATGACAAAAATATTATGTTTGTGCTGTCCACAGGTGGCTATGGAGCACTGAAGTATGGCTAGCATGACTAGGGAGAGGCATTTCAAAATTAATTTAATCTAAATGTGTTTAAATTTAAATTGAGCTAGTGTGGCTAGTGGCTATTCTATTGAACACTGCAGCTACGGAAGAACAAGTGACAGGCAGGAACCAGCTGGGAGGTTTCAGAGAAAGTTCCCTGGATAAGAGGAGAATATTCAGTTAGCCATTTGATACACAAGAGCAAGAGTTTAAAACAGATTATTTAAAAAATGACCTTGGAAATATATCTGGCCTTTAAGCAAAAAAGTTATTGGGGTTGAAAATTTGCATTAGTTCAGATTGAATGTGCTGTTCCTTGTCTTTAAGGGTATTTGAAGTGAAGATTTCTAAATCAGAAGGCCAGAATGTAATGAACTGCTGCGTGAAGCAGATCGACTTAGTTTTCCATGAGCGCAGATTCCCTAAAAGCAAAACCACTATTTTATCCGCAATCCTGGGGAGGACTGAACAGTCATTTCGGCACGTGTGCAATTGGGAGATGGTTTTGTGTCTTGCCTCTCTGTGTAATTAGGCTTTGCCTTACCTCACTTTTCGGGTTTGCACGCCCTCTCCACAGTTCTCCCGCATATTCACAAAGGTCACCTTGCAGATGCTCCAGGGCTCTGTGACCCACAGGTACTGGTTGCAGTCGCTGTGACATGGAACAACCTCATACACCTGAAACACACATGGTTCTCAGCAATCTCAGGGAATCTGATAAGAGGGAGTGGGAGGACTTCCACACCATAACAACAATCATTTCACAGCTAAGCTACTTTCATTCCCCTCCTTTATTGCTTATTATTCTAAGGTAGCAATAGAGAGAACGCAAAAGTTCTAGCAGTAGAGGACAGGGCTAAACATGTTGTAATCTGTTGCTCTACTATGACATTGCAGGTCTAAATCTGATCCACTGGATCACATTAGATGTTACATATTTTCCTGTGCTGACCCTTAACACACTGTATTGTAATTTTCTGGACTGTCTGTCTCATTTACACTTTTGTGTGTCTTCAGTACTAGCCCAGGGTGCTTACATGTTAGGCACTCAACAGGGATTTGCTGAATGAATGAATGGAAGGTGACTTGATGAACTAAATAAGTATACAAACATAGCTTTTTTCCAAATAAATATAATTTGGCCTATTTTCCAGATAAATATATATAATGATGAGAGTTTACATTTTTTTGGTGTGTATCATATGAGAAACTAAATTAAAAAGATAATATGAAATAAAGCCATCTTAACACTAATCCTCAGTCATTTAAGGCTTAGAAGCAGAGTCTGGTCTGCAACCCTAAGCAGCAAGGGCCACATGAAACAAAGCCAATTGTCTCTGTTCCAGTGTCCATAAAGGCTTTTAGTCCCACATTTGGGGTGGTGTGCTTGTTTTCAGGGTTTTTAGTATAATGAACCAACTATATTCTTTTTTCAATGAGAAGAATGACTAAATAAAGGAAATAACTGGCACTTAATCAAGAGCAACCAAGCTGACTCAACCATTAAATTCTTTGAAAGTATTTTTCTAATCTACGATAACTCCAACTCTATTTCTTATTTTACTCACACACATACACACACACACACACATACACACACACACTCACACACCCAGAGAGAGAGCGAGACGGAGACAGAGAGAAAGAGAGAGAAACTACAGCATAAAAATGTTTTATGAAATAAATTCTAGAAAAGATAGATTTAAATAGCCCTTTGGATCCATTCTTTTGTGCCAATTTTAGTGAACTAAAAACCCAAGTAAAATGAATAAAGTGGACTTGTTTTAAATAGGAATAATAAATGCATTGGTGGAGTCAAATTCTACAATGATTGCCATAGGTTGATTACATTCACACTTAGGTGGTGTATTAAAACAGAACTAAATAGCACAGGATAAAACACTACCCTACAACTCATGATGAAGAGAAAACCTAAAGGAGAAAATGCAGTTCTTTCTAATCTTTTGACGGCTTTTATTTAATCTCGTGTATTGAAGTGAATACCAATCACTTCAGAACAATCTCCAACCCACCCATTTTCAGTCTACTTGCACCGTTTCCTTCTCCCTCTGAAGAGCGCACGACCATCAATAATGGGTGCCACTGCCTGTCAAGGTAAGTGGAATAAAACTTTTTCTCCCCAACTCTTGTTCATCTCAGTTTTTGATATTACAATGAAGGATATGAAAATGAAGGAACACAGGTAACTATTCTAGAAAATAAAAAGGAAACAGGTACAGACAAAAAATCTTTAATGGAAAATGTGGTATTTCCTCCCTGTAAAACATACAAGACAAGGCAAGAAGAGAAATGCATTCTCAGAAATCAGAATTTTTTTAATAGACACATTCTATCAAGAACCATGAGGTTTAAGAGTTCTTACCTGTGCCTGCAGTGATGTTCAACAGGAGTGATGAAACGGGAGAAAAACAAGACAGGTGAAAACGTCAGTTTGTGATGAGAAGAACTCTTGGTAAGTTTCAAGTATTATTACTTATACGTAAAACCTACTTTTTTGGTAAAATATTAGAATGTTTTTCTTATGTATGAGGAAATAATATATAACTACTTATTGTTGTTGAAAAGTAAGGTGCACAAATTAGTATTGTGAATAGCACAATGAGAAAATTAGATGGGTAAGATGAAGAAATCTTAGAAAACTGAGTTGACCTCAAAATACATAGCATGGGGAATTGATATATGATACAAATAACTTGTAATCCAACTTGTCAGTGGACTACTGTCTATCAGTATATTTATAGATTGATCTACCCATTGATTTACCTTAATCAATTTATATGTTTTGTAGAAAATGAGGATTTGAGGACTTCCTTCCTCAGTTAGAAAAATGGAAACTCAGAGACCATTTTCAAGCCAAGGGGCTTCTGATTATTTTACTGAGGAATGTATAATTGTAGTAAACCTCTATGTGACTTATAATTTTCAACATTAACACAAAACTACACATCTTTATTTTCCCTAAGTATCTTATTAATTCACAAATTCACAGAAGTTTCTATTTTTTATAAAATATTTATGCTCAAATGTTCAAAAATTTTTTAGTTTTAGATTTGATTTTGTTAATGTCTCAATAAACCCTCAGTAAACCGATACTAAGTCACAACACCACTATCAAACTGCATCAGAATGTATCAGTGTTGGAGAGTGACAGAGAAATGGCTAGGAATAAACACCAGGAATAGCAAAGACAACTTGGCCTAAGGTCTTGAACCTGTGGAAACTTACCCTTAAGGAGAATCTGAGGAAACACAGCTGATTTTAATTGCATACTGACTGGGTATACACATACAGGCTAAAGTAAAGTAGCTATGAGTATGTGTAGAATTTCTCTTTATTAGGATCGTGAATCATACATAATTTATTAAAATTTACATTTGCTACTGAATATTCAAAGTTTCAAAATTTGTAGAGAAATATGCTTTTGTATTGTGAACATTTTAGTTCAGTTATTCTGTTTTACAGTTATATAATCAGAGTTGTGGAACTGATTTTTCTTCTTTGGAAATTTCCGTAGTATCTTAGAAATGCAAAATGCTCTGTGACAGGGAGGCTAACCTACCAGTAGATGGCAGCAAGGGAGTGTCTTATTTACCCTCCCTTGCACCTAAAGTCAGCAACTTTAGTTGGGCAACAATCGAGACTCTTTAGAGTACTTTTTATAGAATTTAATTCGTCATGACCGTCACCTTAATTTACTTAATGCCAAAGATCTTTCTGTTTTCTCTATAATGTACTTTTATTATGAACAAAGTTATGTTAATCTGGGAAGGAAAGTATGTATACCCGTGAGCAGTGTGTTTCAAGATTAAAATTAGTCTATGTATGTATGAAACAACTCTACGTCTTTAAGGACTTGATTCATTTGATTGTGATTTAAATTCAAATACGAAACTTAACACCCACACATAATGTATGAAATTATTCTTTGTTAATTCACATGTAGGCAAAACATGGTCATAACTGTCTGATTATGTTACATTTCATTTAAATTAGTCACGCTTCCTCCATTAGGACTTTTACTATTCATCTCTAATAGAACAGAAAAACAACTAGTAACAGTAGGTCAGAAAGAATGCATCATTCAGAGTTGCAAATGAAACTGAAAATGGTCAATGACTAAACTGACAGCATACTTACAGTGACTTTGAAGCCATCTTTGTATTTCTTTTTCTCAATTTGTTTTATATCAAACACATTTAAACAAACAGTATATATTTTTCCTAATTTTAGACCCAAATTCATTTTATTTCTTTGATCTTAATTTAAGTAGTTGGTAATTGAGATGTCTTTTCTGACAGTCTGGGGAAACTTTAAGAATGAGATAGTCGGGGCCGGGCGCGGTGGCTCACGCCTGTAATCCCAGCACTTTGGGAGGCTGAGGCGGGTGGATCACGAGGTCAAGAGATCGAGACCATCCTGGTCAACATGGTGAAACCCCGTCTCTACTTAAAATACAAAAATTAGCTGGGCACGGTGGCGCACGCCTGTAGTCCCAGCTACTCGGGAGGCTGAGGCAGGAGAATTGCCTGAACCCAGGAGGCGGAGGTTGCGGTGAGCCGAGATCGTGCCATTGCACTCCAGCCTGGGTAACAAGAGCGAAACTCCGTCTCAAAAAAAAAAAAAAAAAAAAAAAAAAAAAAGAATGAGATAGTCTCGGCCTACGTGTTAAGATACAATTTTATGACAGATTAAATACCTTGACATTATTTCACAGATAGGTGTCATTGTTCTCTCCATTGAATTATATACATACTCATATACTTGCAGGGCATGGAATCTCCAGAGAATACAGAGATTATGTTTAATTTGGGATTTTAATAACATACATGCATTTCCTAAGGCATTCTAATGGTAAAAATGGATCAGATTTCTTATTCAGTAGCTACTGTTTACTCTTTTATTATTTAACTGGTAAAAATGGGTCAGATTTCTTATTCCATAGCTATTATTTCCTCTGATTTTGGAGAAAAAAATCAGATCATTGTGAATCTAAACAATACCTTCACACTCTGAATGATAGAAAATACCTGGTTGACATGGTCCAGTTTGGGGCAAGGCCTTCCTCCATTATACGGTTTTTCTCGCAGCCATTTAGAGCGAACCTTCACACCACTCCCACAGGACTTACTGCAGCGCGACCAGTTGGACCATTCACTAAGCTTGCAGTCTGAGGGGCAGGGGATGATGCAGGCCTCTTCAATGTAACCTGAGTGGAGGAAAATGAGACAACAATCATCTCCTCCACTTGTCACTCTCCCACTACCACCCACTATTCTAGCTCATTTAAAAGGTCCAAGGCTGACTTGACAGCAGCATGCAAATGCAGAGGTGTCTCCGTTGTTAGGGACTCAAATTAAATTCTGCAGGAAAATGACACATACATACAGCGACTCTGTTAAAATAACAGCTGAGAAGCTGCCACGTGATCTGCTTAGGATTCATGCTCACCATATTTCAACATTTCTGACTTTCTGACAGCTCGTATTTAATTGACAATAACCTGTCTGCTGCCATATCATTCTCATGCTGACAGAATGATACATTAAAAAATTGTAAGTTTTCTATAAAACCCTATCTGTTAATGTCACACAAGTACAGTGTTCTGAGTCCATGCAACCTGCTTTCTTAAGGAAAAAATCCCAGTCCCTTTCATTTAATACCCAAAAGGAACCATTTAACTTAGCAGCTTGTGTTTCTCCTTCTTTGAAAAGCAATTCTGAAGAAAAATGAAGGATGTTAAGTAATGTCTCATATTTTACCATGCTGTCACTTTCAAGGCACCTTCATATCTTGTATCCATTGGATTCTGCTGAAAATCTTACATATGAATTGTACAAGTCTTGATATTCTGGCAGCCAGTTAAGAAAACAAATGCAGAGCGATGACTGACTGAGTCTAAGGTTACACAGTAAGAGATGGGGAAAAGTTTCCTGAGGTCTAATCCAGTAGTCATTCCGTCAAATCACCCAGCCAATTCAGTTAATAGTGCACAGATTTGTTTTGGGAAATGGGAACGTTTTCTTTGAAGTTCTTAACTATGAACTTGCCATTTCATAATATCAATTAAAGAATATTATTCTCAAGGCAAACATGTGAAAACAGCAAAATTCCTCTGGTCAAGAATGAAATGCACGGTTGTCCTCTAATGTTACTCTTTACTCTGAATGTGGAGAGAGGGTGTTCTTGCTACAAGTAAACACTGTGCCTTCCCATTTTATCTCAACAGCAGAGATTCAATTTTGACAATGATTATAATGTCAACAGTTGATACTAGGCAACTCCAGGTATATTTTAAAGAATTTATGGAGATATAATTCATATGCCATAAAAATAACCTCGTTTTGGTTTTCAGTATGTTTGCTAAGTTGTGCAACCAACACCACCATCTAATTTTAGAACATGTGTTTTACCCTAAAAATAAACCCTATGGTTACCGGCAGTCACTTCCTATTTTCCCCTTCCTCATCCCCTGCCAATGATGAATCTACTTTCTGTATCTATGAATTTACCTAACCTAGACATTCCATATAAGTGAAATAAAACATTATATGATCTTCTCTTCTTTTTTGTTTTAAAGATGGTGTCTTACACTGTCTCCCAGGCTGGAGGGCAGCGGTGTCATCATAGCTCACTGTAGCCTTGACCTCCTGTCCTCAAGAGATCCTTCTACCTCAGCCTTTTCAGTAGCTTGGCTGGGACAAAGGGTGCACACCAAGCTAATTTTTATATTTTTTTTATAGAGATGAGGTCTTACTGTGTTGCTCAGGTTAGTCTAGAACTTCTAGTCTCGAGTGGTCCTTGGCCTCCCAAAGTATTCGGATTACAGGTGTGAATCACCATGCCTGGCTGGCTTCTTTCACTCAGTACAATGTTTTCAAGATTCATTTATGTTATAGCATGTATCATTACCTCAGTCCTTCCTATGATTGGATAATATTCCACTGTATGGACATTTCACATTTTGTTTATCCACTCATCAGTTAACGGACATTTGAGTTGTTTTCAGTTTTTGTCTATCATGAATAATGGTGCTATGAACATCTGTTTACAAGCTTCTGTGTGGGCATACATTTTCAATTTCCTTTAATATATATATTATGCATAGTTCAATTCCCTCTAATATATATGAAATTGCTCAGTCATATGGTAACTCCTATTTAACTTTTTCAGGAAGTGTCAAACTGTTTTCCAAAACGACTGCACCACTTTATATTCTACCAGATACGTATGCATGTTCCAATTTCTACAAATTCTTGTCACACTTGTTATAGTCTCTTTTTAAAATTTTAGTGTTCTTTGAAGAACAAAAGTTTTAAACGTAAATGAAGTCCACTTTATCTTTTTCCTTGGTTTTAAATGCTTCTGTATTATATCTAGGAACCCATTTCCTAAGCCAAGTTCATCTAGGTTTACAGTAGTGTTTTCTCATGAGAATTTTATAGTTTTAGCTCTTATATTTAGGTATGTATTTCATTTTGAGTCAATTTTTATTTATGATAAAAAGTAGGGGCCTAATTTCATTCTTTTACATGCGGTTATTGAGTTAAAATGTCTTCAGTTGTTGAAAAAATGATTCTTTTCTAATTGAATTGTTTTGGGACCCTTGTTGAAAATGAGTTGACCATAATGGAAGTAATTATTTTTGAACGGTGAATTCTATTCCATTTATCTCTGTCTAGTCTCATGATAGTACTACACAGTCTTCATGACTATAACTTTGTAGCAAGTATTGAAATCTGGATGTGTGAGTCTTCCTACTTTGTTTTTCCTGTTAAAGATAGGTTTGGCTATTGTGAGTCAAATTTCTATATGCATTTTAGAATGAGATTGTCAATTTCTGCAAAAAAATTGCAGCTAGAATTTTGATAGGGATTGTGTCAAATTTGTTGTTCAGTTTGGAAGTACTGCCTTCTTAATTCAGACACACCAAATTTATTTCCATTTTTATAGATCTTTAGTTTCTTTAAATGATGTTTTATAGTTTTCAGTGTATAGGTCTCAAACTTGTTATATTTATTCCTAAGTATTTTATTCTTTTTGTTGTAGGAAGATTTAAGAAAGAACCAACAAACATTAATTTTTTTTTTTTTTTTTTTTTTGAGATAGGGTCTCACGCTGTCACCCAGGATGGAATGCTGTGGTGTGATCTTGGCTCACTGAAATCTCTGCCTGCTGGGTTCAAGCAATTCTCCTGCCGCAGCCTCCCAAGTAGCTGGGACCACAGGCATGTGCCACCACGCCTGGCTAATTTTTTTGTATTTTTAGAAGAGATGGGGTTTCACCATGTTGGCCACACTGGTCTCAAACTCCTGACCTTGTGATCCACCAGACTCAACCTCCCAAAACGCTGAGATTACAGGCTTGAGCCTCTGCACCTGGCCAATTTCTTTAATTTAGAAAAATGAGACCACTTTTAAACCAAAATGGCAAATTTAATCTACATGATTGTGCTCAAACTGTCCTGTATTGAAATAGTGCTAAAATACGATTTAATTTACTATATAGTATTTACTAGCCTTGCCTAGTCATAAATTATCTGAGACACATGTTAAAAACATAAGCCCCCACCACTCTCAAGTTATTGACAACACAAACCATCGCACTTATTCAGGCTTCCAAGTTTTACTTTTACTCATTTGTGTATGTGACTGTAACGGACTTAAGTTAGGAAATGTTACTGTAAGAAACAGGCAGAACCAAAACAATGGAAGATAAATAGATTTCTGGCATATCTTTTTATGTAGTATCTCCTGTACAGTTGTCAAAGATATTTGTTTTAAAGTTCGTATTGTAGTCTTCATACACAAAAGGGCATTTTTCTATAGATGTAAATTTCATTGAACACACCCATGAAATCAATAGTCCAGAATCCTCCTCTGTGTTCCCTTTCAGCCACTACCCATTCTTACAAGAGGAACAACTATCCTCACTACTCACAGTGTAGAATTGTTTCACTTTTTAAAAATTTCAGGTAAATAGACTCATATAGTGTATATCCATTTGTGTTAGCCTTTTCACTCTACATTGTGATGTGCATTTCATTCGTATTGGTGCATATAGCTGAAGACTGCTTATCTAGTTGATGTGTAGCATTCTATTGTGTGAACATACTATGGTTTATTCATTCTGTTGTTGGTGAGCATTTAGGTACTTTTCAATATGGGGGCATTATTAACTTTGCTGCTATGAATATTCTAGAATGTGTCTTTGATGGACATATGTATGCATTTCTGTTTTACGTACTCCTAGAAGAGAAATGGATTGATCAGATGGTATGTACATTATATCATCCATTGTAAATATAGTATAAATTTTAAAAAATGGGATCACAAATTTGGCATGAAGATTAAGATACAATGAAAAGTTTTGAAAGTGGGGATGAATCCCAGATAATCTTCTGGAGAGCAGACATGGCAGAGTCGGGATTTTGTTTGTTGTGAGACATAGAAGACAGAAAGAAGATGGCAGTGCTAAGTTTCTAATGTACTGTTGATACTCAAGATGACTTTTGGAGTATTGATAATGATCCGAGGAAAGTCCAACAAAAACTAAAGGAGTATTTCACAGCAGCGTTACTGAAATTTTAAAATAGATTACAGTGATCTACTTAAATCTTACATTTTTGAGTTTACTTATGCTTTGAGGTGGAGAAATAAGCCCCCTTCATGAAGTTGACATATATTTCAAATTCCATTCCCTTTTTCCTATAGCTACGAGATGCCTAAAAAATAACTCCTCTTATTTTATGGCCAGTAATAATTTGTTTTCTTTACATAAGTAACAGTTTTTTCCAAATCAATGGCATTATGACCAAATTTTTTTAGAACTGCATTCTTCCACCTTGATAAACTACAAAATATCTCTCAAAAGTGAACCTCTCACCTTTTTTTTAGCTCAGTAATTGTAACTGAAAATAGAATCACATGGTGGTCTTTCATGTCACTACCTCACAGAGTAACAGATAAATGGAATTTTTTTTTTTTTAAATATTATGGCTTTAGAAAGATTTAACATGTATGACTTCAGACTGATTCACATTGTGTTACTAAGGAAGGAGATATAAAAACTTTACGTCTGATTTTCCAATAGCATATTCCACAAAACATCTCTCAAATAAAATTCAAACTATTAAACTGTTAAAAGATACAAATTAGGAAGTGAGATAAAGATAAAACTGCAAAAGCATATATTGCCTAGCATCTCAGT